CAGTGGACTTCAGCCCTGCCTCTCCCCCAGGACAGGCAGTGAAACCCCATGGGCATCAGCACTGGGAATTCCCTGCAGGCAGCTGGCTGCAAATTCTAAAGCACTTCGCATCAGCCGAGAAATGAAACCAAGCACTATGAGTGCTGAATGAATCTATAATTGCAGTGTATCTGAGACACTTCTGCTTTTATTCTTTGTAAGACAGTGGCTGCTATCTATCCTTTAATATACTGGTCAGTGCCTTTCCAAAAATCACAGCATCTAAATGCAAGGTGGGAAACTAGAGTTTGCAGAGCACTGCAAGGAAAATTCTTCGAGTTTTTCACTGAAGATCACCTCATAGGCGCTGAAGACGCTTGACAGTGTTGCTTATTTGGAGCAGCATCTTCCTAGAGACAGTGGAAAGTCATGGCTTGATAGTTTAAACAAGATTAAGGAACATGTATAAACACAGTACTGTGCTTTCATTGTGGGGATGGTGCACAGCCCAGCAGAGGAGAGTTTTTCCCAGCTAACACATCTGCAAGAAGGAAGCCTTTCTTTCTGTGGGAAAGCAGAGAAGAGTGAGATGTGCTGGAAGAGGCAGCAGATGGGGCTGCAGATGGTGACCCTCCCAGTGGCATAGCACAGCTGCCACATCCCTCTAGATGAGCACATGATGGCCAGCAGATAGGCAGAGTTAGGGAGAAAGGGATGGAGGAACTAGGACAAAAGCTCCAAAATCTCCTCTTCTTCCCAACTACACAGACCTTATCCCATGGTTCTTCCTCCTATCTGCTCCCAAATGGATCTCAGGGAGCAGCTGGCTGTTCCTCAATCCCCTTCCAGCCCCATCCAAGCCAGACCTGCTCTGTATCTCCTACAGCCCCAGAGCCACTAAGCCATACAGATATGCCTTTATGTTGCAGAGCACTGGAGAGAAAGAAAAGGAAGTTTTCCCTAGCCCCCTGACAGGGAGGCACAGTAGTCACAGCCTTTCCTACAAGAAAAACGTGAAGGAGAGGTGGGGAGCGACACAGAACATGGAACTAAGCTCCTCACTGATGTCTACCACGTTGCTGGGAGAGATGGCTTCTGTGGAAGGTACTTTCCAGAGGCTTCTGGCAGCAGGACAGATCTACTATTTGCTTGTCCTCCTGGGCTTTCTCTTTCATCTCCAAGTTTTACTGCTACCATCCATAAAGAGAAGATGGGTGCATCTGTGGCAGAGAGGATGGCCTCCCCTCCCTTTCCAAAGAGTACTGTGGGAGTGGGTAAGGGTGCACCTGGTTGGTTGCTGAGCCTATTCTGCACGTAAAACCATGGGGACAAAGGTCCCCATGTCAAGTAGCTGCTGGACTTCCTTTGACTGCAGGAACCTGGACCAGGAAGAGCAGCCTGGTTAGTACCCTGCTCCAGCCCTGCTCAGAACCAAGAAATCAGACCATGATTTCTCCAGGGCACTAGGCAAGGAGCAAAGTCATCGGGTGCATAGAAGAGGGCACATCCCAGCCTGGCCACTTTTGGGGACTGGCATGGTTTTGCTGCTTTTCCTGTCCTCCAGTAGATGTTTTCCCTCTGGTTTACTATGCTCTCCACAAGTATGACCAGCTATGAAGGTCAAGCTTTGGGGAATCAGTATTCAGGCACCCCAAAATTCCCACGTCCCTTCTCCTGTCATCAAGATTCACCCAGTATCTTTCTAGCCTCAGGAAGTGCCTGTGAGACACATTGGGGTGAGAACCCCAAATCCTGCCAGCAAAACTTGGATCTTTGCTCAGAATGGGTTTGGTCAGCATTGTTGGAAACCCATCTCTCTCCTTTGGTTGGGCTGGGATTTTTGTTGTTATTCTTTGGAAGGATCTGTCTGTACATTCAGGTACCAAAAGTCAGAACAAAACTCACAAGCAGATGGAGAAACAAAACTAAAAGCTCTGTGAAGTTGGTTCTCTGCGGGGCTAGGAAGGCAGTAGGAAGCCCAGGCCCAGCATTTTGGGGAAGGTGAGTGGGATTCATCCAGCCAGCCCCTATCCTGGGCAAGGAGAGCTGGATCTGTTCACAGATACAAATTTTAGTGTTCGCTGGCGGTGTAGGCTGGATCATGCCACTACAACAGCCCAGCTGCAGGGTAAGGTTTCAGATGTAGAACCCATGGGAGGAGCAATTCTGCTCAGAGCCCCATAGCTTGTCCAAAGGTGCTGTCATCTTCCCACAAGACAAAGCCTAGCAGAAAGTGTCCAGATAAGCAGCACCGGAGATGATGCTCTGGGACTGAATGAAGAGCCAGAAGGAGCCCGGGTCGGAGAGATGCCAAATCCGGATCCTCTCAATCACCCACACAAGTTGCTGATTAGGCAAGAGCTAACAACACAATGAGAAGGAACCAGCAGGGCTTTTCTCCTCCTGGGTTCCCACTCAGCCCATCTGTCCACAAGTCTCATCTCCCCAAACAACCCAGACAAGTCTCTGAGCACCTGTCAACTGGGTCCAGTGCTGGTGCCAATGGAGTTGTGCCATGGAGTGCAGCCTCTTCCATGGCACCAAGCGAAGAATATAACCACCATGGTGCACAGCTGGTCCTTGCACTTGGACACTAAGGTCACAGCAGATCACGCCTGCACTGTCTTGTGTCCGCCTGGGAGGCATCTGAGGCAGCTTCCACCAAGCCTGGCAGATGGATGCCCCATCCCTGGAGGCATTCAAGGCCAGGGTGGATGAGGCTTTGGGCAGACTGGTCCGGTGGTTGGTGACCCTACAAATAGCAGGGAGTTGAAACTAGATGATTGTGGTCCTTTTCAACCCAGGCCATTCTATGATTCTATGATTCTGTGAAAGAGAAGAGCTCTCATGATCCCAGCATTGAGACCTGGGGCCAGAGAACTACACAGAGCATGTTTGGTTTGCTTGCATAGGTATAGCCTTGCTTTTCTTTCCTGGCCTTGAGAATAGTAACCAGAAGAAGGGCTGTTTTGTCAGCTCCCTTGGAAAGCTTTCTATTTATAATGACTTGTGAGTCCGTAACATGAGAAATATTTTTGTCAGGAATTGATAAAGCTCCCAGAGTGATTCAGTTGACACTCCAGAATACTTCATATCAAAGTGGTCTGTGCAACAAAACCCTGGACCTACTGAGGGCATGTCTGCATCCCAGAGTGACAGGTCCCAATCTTCCACACTGTGGATGCAGAGAGGCTAGGCAAAGAGCAGGAAAACATAACTGGAGAGAAAGAGATAAACAAGAGGACTTGGAGCACTTTTACTGAAATTGTTTCTTGGCTGCAGCCCAACATTTTGCTGCTTTCTCCAAGGACTATGACCTCTGAAAAGTCATTGACTTTTTTTTTTTACATATATCAGAAAAACTCGCTGTACTGTTGTTTTTTTTTTTCTTCAAGTGCGGAATCCTGCTGGCTTGGATTGATTCCCAAGAGATAGACGGAGGAGCATGGAGAGCTCCAGGGTTCTCCCTGTCAGGGCCACACGTGCTGCCCAGGAAAGCATCTCCTGTCCTTCCCTCAAGGACCGCAAAAGTTGGGAACTAGGGTACAGTGCCCTTGACTCCTTGCCTCCAGCCAAGCATAGATTTTATCTATCTCAAGCTGAGCCCACCAGCTGCAGCAGCTCAGCCTGGGCATGGATCCATGCTGAGCATCCTCCTCCTCCCTGCTGTGGCCCCTCGCAGGTCATGGAGTGAGCAGCAGTGTGGTTCTGCCAAAGCAAGCACCAATTACACTCCCTTCCCACTCATATTGTTTGTCTTGGCTTTTCTTCCCATACCAGCCTTCCTCCTCCTCCTCCTCAGGATTATATTGCTGGAGCTGTCACTGTGCTTAATGAGCTGGGACAGAGCAGGGGAAAGGGCTCTGGGAAAGTTACGGTGAGAGACAGCCAAGCTTGGGGCACTGCAAGTGCACATGGAGCAGAAGGACCCTGGTGGGGGGAGAACACTTGAGAAAGAAACCCTAGCCACCAGCAAAGGGAGAAACTGAACAGGAGGGTAAAAGGGCTTGGTGGAACAGCCACTAGCTGCCTAGGCATCCCCATGCTGCTCCCCATGGATGCCATCCTGGGACAATATCCTTCCTGCCCTCAAAAAGTCTCCCAGGTGCTCCTAACCTGTGTTCAAATAACAGTCATGTGCAAGAGCATAGCACTTGGCTGCTAGCCTTGCCACACATAGCACCTGCATGTATGTCCCAAGCTTTAGCAGAAAGGAGCAATTTTGTTCCAACATATGTTTTGGGTGAAAGGGCAACTCCCAAGGGGACCTGAGACCATTTTAGGGCAGCAAACCTTATGGCAGACTGCCTTGGTTTTAGAGACTTGATTATACACAGCTCTGGTGCACAGACCTGAGAGCAAAGCAACCCAGGACTCCTAGCTCATTGGTGATAAGGGGCAGAAACTGTGACTTACCATGGATGCACCTAGGAGCAGACACTGGGATTTTCACCAGGCTGCATTTCCCCAAAAGCTCTTTCTCTTGTGTAGTCCAGCTGCTCACTGGTACGGAGATACAGGCCAGTCTGAGCACGCTGTGCCTCAGTTTCCCTCTACCACAAGGGCAAAGCTCCCATTGCCAGCAGTTGTACTGGTGGCACTGAAGTGGCTTGTTCTGGGAGGTGCAACACTTCACCGAATCACAGAATTATCAAGGTTGGAAAAGACCTACAAGATCATCCAGTCCAACCGTTCACCTGCCACCAATAGTTCCCACTAATCCATGTCTCTCAACACAAAATCCAGATGTTCCTTGAACATCTCCAGGGTTGGTAACTCCACCACCTCCCTGGGCAGCCTATTCCAGTGCATGACCACTCTCTCAGAAAAGTAGTATTTCCTAACGTCCAGCCTAAATCTCCCCTTCCATGCTCCCTCCCACCCTTCACCCTCTGAAATCATCCCTCACCCCCGAAAGCCCTTTTTATCACCCTACACTCCACACACTCCCATACTCTGCACTGTTCTTTGGGTTCAAACACAAGGCAAGCCAACAACCCATAGGCTTTTCTTTTTATTTAACAAAATCACAGCTTTTTTTTTTTTTTTTTTTTTTAAGAAGAAAGGAAGGAAGGAAGCAGCTAATGCCTGTAATTATTGCACTGAATAGACCTAGCAGCAAATACCTGAGCAACGTTGTGAATACTGCTCCTGCATCATTGCCAAGAGCAATCTTTGATGATGGTGGCAGACTCAGGGACCAAGAAGGATGGCAATATCCCTGAGTGATACCCATCACCACTGGCAGCCTGCAGGCCAGGCCATGGCCAGGTGGATACCAGTTGTGCCACAGCACCCAGCAGTGCCAGGACGGGACATCTCCCCCAGCGCACCTTTGCCTGGCTGTCCCAGATGCCAGCCCTGGCTCCATTCCACTTGTCAGGAAAGTGCACTGGGAGAAAGCTGCAAGGGAGTCAGGGCTCAAGTGAGAAACTGTGCCACCTGTTCCCTGAGGACAACATGGAATCAGCATGGTGGCAATGGACATCCCCATCTCTCCCATTCATCCCTGTGCAGTCTTTACTGAGCAGCTCTTCCCAGGGATATAGAAGGGCTCAGGCTCGAGGCTGATGTTGGAAACTCAAGAGAACAGACCAGTGATGGAAATGAGATCACAGGAAGGCTGAGATCCCAACAAACTCATTTGCAGATCAGTCCTTCAAATCAACTCCTCAGCCTCAATAGTGGCAGGGGTGATGCTGAGAACCCTCGAGGCCAAGACTCCTGTCAAGCAGCCCCTGGCTTGGCCAGATGCAGATTTCTCGGTCACAACAGTGGCAGAAGGGAGAAGAGAGAACAGAAGAGCTGTGCCCAACACTGTGCACTGACACCAGTCCCAAGGAGGGTTGGTCCTGTGCACCACAGCAGGGCATAGAAGCAGGGGTGTCTTCATGGCTTCACAAGCTTCAGATTCACAGCTGAGAGTCAGCCCTGCTCTGGTTGCTGGGGCTGGGCACATGTTTCTGCATTGCTTAATTGCCTTGATTTGGGACCTGGGAAAGAGAAAAACCCAGCTGGGATGAGCGTGGTTCTGAGACAGAAGGATTCCCAGTGCCCCTTCCCTGCAGCTGAAGTGGTTAGCAGGACTACGGTCAGACCCTGACCTTGACTGTCTCCAGAGACTGGCATCCACCACCTCTCTGGGCAAGAGGAGAGCTTGCAAAGCACCCACAGACATCATCCCAAACCTTCCCCATGGAGGTGCACATTGCCAGACCCCAGAAGCAGGGGTCTCTGCTTTGTTCACAGTGCCATTTGCTGTGGCATCCATCAGTCTCGCTAGGACTGGGATAAGCTGTCTGGGGGCAGATCCAGCCCATCCCCACGCTGTTCCCATTCCCCAGTGCGTGCACAAAGCACGGCCCAGCTCCCACCTTCCCAGCAGAGCTGGCATCCAGCTTCTCCCGGAGGCGCAGCACCCACGGAGCTTGGGGTGGGGCACAGAGCCGCTTGCCCCTCGCGGTGATGAACCTGCCAGGTCCACAGGGGAAAAGAAAGAGACGTTCTGAAGATGTTTCTGCACAGATCGAGTTCTCACCCACTGCCTCCATCACCGTCCTCCTCCACGTCCACTTTGTGATGACTTTCCTCCACATTTTCCCCAGATTTTCACCTCTCAGCAGGTTTGTCCTGCTCTGTTTGAGCCTCTGCATGTCCTTCCCTTCTCTTACCTATTCCCCAAACTCAGCTCACCCCTCCTTCACCCTGCTGTGCCTCCCTCCCTGCCTCCTGCATGCTCCATCCCTCACCCATCATGGGACTACAGCTCTTACACGGTGGCAGGGATGTCGCAGCCATCCTGTACCAGCTGCATCCGGTAGTCCTGCACTATCCGCCGGGGGATGGGCTTCTCGCTGGTCCGCAGGCAGCAGTCGAGGACGTTGTTGCCAGCGTACACTGGAGGAGGAACAGCACACGTGTTATCGAGGTCTCTCCTGGGCTCCCTGGACAGTGGGGCCGTGGAGTGGGGCAGAAAGATGACCTCTTGGTGGGGGCAACCCTGCATGCCTAGAGCCCTCCCCTGTCCCCAGACCAGTGCTCCAGGTGCCAGGGGTGCTCCCCTGTTGTGCTAAGGGCTGCTTAGGCAAGGGAAAAAGGAAGCACGGGGGCAAAAGGAAGCACGAAGATCAAGTGTGCACAGGCTGGGCTAGGGCACGGGGGGGGGCACCTGTTGGTCCACCACCTGTTCCCAGCACAGTTTTCTGTGTAGGATTCTTTGTGGACTTTGGGCAGTACAGAGTCCCTCTGGAACAGGTTACCAGCAGAGCATTCAAGAGGGCTGCTGCAAAGCCTCAGCAGTGAATTACTTCTGCAAATGCTAAAGCAAACAAGAAGCTGGCTCCTAGCCTTTCTGCAAGAAAAGCACCCGTAAAGCTTCCTTCTTACCATTCAGGATGCATCTCTGCACCAGGAGACTAAGGCAAAGAAGATGAAGCCGCTGCATTGTGTCACTGAGTCAGGCAGAGGAGGGGCTGCAGATGGTGGTGCTCTGGGCAGGAGAGGTGAGCTCTGCACAGCTTGCTGCGATCTGTTGCTGTGTTCTCCACTGCCTATTTATCTGTTCCAGCCTGTGGCTTTCACTTTCTTTTGGTGAAGACGGGTGGGAAATCACAGTAGGCAGCATTTCGATCTTTGTGCAGTTCCCGAACATCCCGTCAGCTTTCCCTGCAGCCAGCTGCTCAGCCTCCCCACAGCCAAGTGCCCTCCCAGGGCACGGGGGCTTCGGTCAGGATCCTCACCCCTAGCCCCGGGGAAAACACTTATGGGATCTCATCCTGTGCATTTCCCACTCCCTCCTCCAAGACCTCTCTGGGACATCCCCACTGGATGGGGCTCATCACCCAGAGATGAGTGTATATTGGAGCTGCTTGGTTCCCAAGCAGCTGTTTGTAGAAGCCTGGTTGCCCCTGCATCTCCGTGCCCTCCCCATTGCCAGCACATCAGACCCATTCAGAACTGCCTGAGCTTGGAGCGTCTGTGCAGTGCTGGTGGATGGAGCCTGGCTTAGCGTACATACCAAAAGACAGTGTGGTTTCCAGGTGTCCCTGGAGCAAATGGGCTCATGGCCAAAGACAGCTGCATATCTTTCTGCAAATGTATATTCTCAGCACATGGGCAGAAATCCCCAAGGTGAGCTTGGCTGCCAGCACTCACTGCTCGTGCAGGCATCACCAGGAGCAAAGAGCACACTCCTGCTGCAAACCTTCAGAGCAGAGAAGAGACAGAGGCTGTTCCTCCTTGAGGTCACCATCAGGACAGTGCCACCAACACCACCAGCCAGCCTGCTCCAGCCCTGGTGTGTGGCATGGGGGATGCAGCCTGTGGAAGGGACAATGAAAGGGATCTCACCCCTGCCCCATGGGCATTTGGAGAGGTGTAGAGCCAGGATCCTCTTGGACAGAACTGGGGATAGGGAGAGAAGCACCAGCTGCACTCAGGGAAATGGCCATTAATATTAGGAGAAATAGGATAGTCAAATCTTGGATTGAAATCTCCACCCCTGCACCCACTCCATTGCTTCAGCTTCAGCCCTTCCTTGCACTTCGGTGGAGATTGCAACACAGGGACAAAGACCTCCCTGGGGACAGGAGATCCCTCTGCTCCTCTCAGCAGTAGGAGATAGTGAGCTGCCCTTCCGTACTCCAGGATAAGAAGGGGAAGCTCCAGCCATGCCACTTGCCAAAGTGCCTCATCCCTGTGTGGCTGCTGGTGCCACCTTGTGCACAGAGCTGCGCTTTCCATCAGGAGAGCCCTTCCTCCAGCTGCACCCATGCCCAGCATGTCAGTACTGCCAGAGGGGACAAGAGGAAGCTGGCAGGCAGAAGGAGCAGTGCAAACAGGATGTGCAAGCATAGCTGCAGTCAGATCCTCCCACTTTCAGCACTCTCCAAGCTTATTAACTGCAAAGAAATCTTGGTGGGTGGAGGAGGAATTTAGGCAGCAGAGGATTAACATCATTCATCAGTCCCATGTGGATGCAGGCTGGTGCTGGGACTGATCTCCACTCATTCTCCTTTGATGCTGGCAGAGATCCTGTGGCAAGGAGGATGGTGCAGGATCAGCGGGAAGTGCTGGAGGTCCCTTCCTGTGGGATCTCCCTCCTGGCACTTCTGGGGGCCCTGTCCTCATGGCAAAGGACAGGCCATGAGCAGAAGGTAGCATGTAAGAGATGGGAGCGCATCCTGTGTGGGGGGGCGGAGGGGAGGGGGGTTAATTCCTGCAACACCTCCAGCAGCCCTCAGCCCCTAAGAGATACTGAGGCTCTGCTTTCCCGCATGTGACATGAAGCTTTCCCATTGCCAAGTGGGTGAAAGCATGGCTGCTGGAGTCACTTCTGCTCCCCAGGAGGGCCATGAGAGAGTGAGGAAAGGGGCTTTCCACGTTGGGAAAAGGGGATGTGACGGGTTTCCCCCTCTGCTGGGGTCAGTGAGATTTCTAAGAAGAATGTGGTCAGCCACAAAGCACATACAGGCGACCATCCCCCCCCCCCCTACTCCCCAACCCCCCACCCCGCACTCTGGTGTGATTTGCACTCACTCCTGAGGAAGAATTTCTTAATGAAAGCGGGAACAACGCATGAGAAGATTGGGGCTCCCATAGGAAATCCAACCTATGGATGTGATTACATCATCACATCCATCCCTGGGCTCTGTTAGGAGGCACCAGTCATGCTGCTGTCCTCCCTGAGACCCCCTCTCACCATGGTGTTGTGCAGTGTTCTGCTCCCCATCTCCAAGCCAAGGAGCTAGAAAGGGCAAAGGGGGAATTCCAGCAAGCTCCAGACACAGCCAGCCCCCGTGGCAGGATCTGGCCTGGCTGCATTCACCTCATTGAGAAATATGAGACTGCATCACAGCTGTTTTGATTTCCATGCCTCTACTACAGCCTCCCAACATGGGAGGCTTCCACATGTCTCCCACAGCATCTCAGTCCCACTGCAGCGTGGCGCCCAGGATCTCCTTGGGATCTCCTCCCACTGAGGGAACTTAGTCAATCTGGTTAAAATGGAATTAAGGAAAAAACAGTGAGCACTTGACTTTGTCCAGAAGAAAGCAAAAAGGGTCTTGAGGTCTTGGCTAATGGGAGGGCAGTTCTGTTCCAGTTCCTAAGTGGCTGACAATGGGGAGAGTGGGAGCCCCGTTGCCCACCATCCACTTCTCCATCTCCATGCTGAAGCAGGAGGACAGAGCCCAGGAGGGTGGTGTGGTTGGATATGCTCTCCATGAGCGTATCTCTCACTTAATAACCCACAGTCCTCCCTTGGTTCCACCACTGAGGGAAACAAGGTCCAGAGGAAACCACTCTCCTGCAGGGCACGTCTCCACACACCACAGTTTTGGAGATCACTGCCTTTCTAGCACCCATGTAGCCCTGTAAGCACCAATCTGCAGAGATGCAGTGTGCATGCTCCCATGTGTTGTCAGCAGTGCAGCACGGAGGAACCAACCCTGTGCATGTGTCCTCAGGTGAGCATCACTGGAGCTCAGCCCAGCATCCCAGCCTGGCATGCTGTGCTGCCAGGAGCCTCATCTGTATCGGGTAACTGCTGAGCAGATCATTTGGCTCACATTCAAGACTTTCTTTTGGCTGCACGTTGTGGTTTCTCTCTTGCTTGGCTACTTTCTGCTTGTCACCTAAATCCTGTCTGCTCCAGGGTGGCCCAGCTCCTGGAAATTCCCCCAGCCCAGCGCTTTTCCTCCAGCCTGTTGCTCAGAGAGTATCATTGGAGTGTTCCCTGGTACTATTGCACCTGCCATGCATGACAGCAGTTTTTTTGTCAGTTCCCATCTGAGGTTTCTGCTACATTTTTTTTCACCTTGTTTTCCTCTGTAACAGTGTTTTGCAGTGATGGTGGCTTGCAGCCTCATGTCAGACCCAGCCAGATGCCTGTGCATGCACTCCCATATGTCCAGAGCAGATCACAACCCCATTAATAACTCCTTTAACACCCCAGAGAGCACAGGAGCACTTCTCTGAGCCGGTCATGGCTGTGGGGATGATGTGTGGTACAGCCCTTTCACCCTAACCCGTCTTCCCCACCCCTTCCACTCTCCCCAAAGACCATTACGAGAGCCAGAAGGACTGTGTTTGTGTTTGAAGCATATGTTTTATTGCCTTGCATCCTGCCAGGAGCCCGGACAGCCGCACCGTGGCACAGGGCCGGCTCAGTGCCCAGGGTCGGTATCGGGTTCTTCACAGTTTCTTTACAGTCTTAAAAGAATACACCTCAACGCTCACCAGATAAAGCAATCAGCCATATAAATGCACTCAATAGAAGCACTCAGCTACAAGCGTTCCCCAGCCAGCACACTTCCTATGCTGAAATTGTTAAGCCCCACAAATCCTATTACTGCAATCATACAGCTTAATAGACGCTTACTGACTGAAGTCCACGTCTGAAGACCGAAAGCAAACAGCACTGTGGCTTTTACAGAGCCTTTCCATTGTTCCTCAGCACAGCAGGCAGACTGCAGACAGGGGATCTGTCCACCCACCTGCTTGCAGCCTCACCTTTCAGTGTGCTCAGGGTTTGATAGAGCAGCTCACTATTGTGTCAGCAATGAATTCTGCAGATTCGTCTATTGCTGCACCTGCATAGCCTTCTGTGCACTATTTCCACCATGCACACATTTCATTTCGGAGAAGAAAGCATAAGAGAATTTCTTTTATCGTTCCTGAAAGCAAAGCACTTTGCTTAATAATGTCTGAATTTCTGAATACAGCAAAAACAACTGAGGACAAAGCGGTAAAATTGCACTAAAATGAAAAGTTTTCTCTGACTTCATTGCGACTTTATACTTAAAAGGATTGAAAAAAAACCAAAGGATATTTGGAAAAAACCTATCTTCCTACTGTGATACTGCAACAGCTTGTTGTAAAAGCCAAAGGTAAGCCCCAGCCCAGCACTACAGCAGAACCTGCAGTCCCCATGCTGCTCGCAGCCACTGTGGATGTTAATGGGATGCAGCACCTTGGCCCTGGGCACTACTGTTTGGAAGCTGGAAAGGAGCAAGTAGGCTAGAGGAGAATGAACTGCAGCCATCATTTATTTGGTATAAAAATAAGAGCCATCTTCCAGGAAAGCAGCATAAAAGGTGCTCTGTGAAGCTGCAAGCAGAGCCCTCCAGGTGCAACTGTGTAAAGCAGAGTTTTTAATATAAATACAAATGTATAATATCCCCAAACGAAGCTGCCATCCCACCAGGTGCCTTGCAGGAACCCCCCCACCATGGTGAAGGTGCTCACTGCTGGGGCTCAGCTCCCTGCTGGGGAGAGGGGGTGCCGACAGAAGGGAGGGGGACATGGGGAAGAGCACAGTCCCCTCTTGCCCCAGCACTGGAAGGCGAGTGTGCTGCAGATGTCCATTGCTGGTCGGTGGTCAGAGGGGAAAGTGCTTGTCCTAGGGGAGAGGAGGGCAAGGAGAGAGTGAGCATCTCAGCACAACCCAACCTGTGGCTGTGGGGCAGTGTCCCTAAGCATTTCTGCCACCAGCTTCATCCCCAGGCTGCTAAGGGGGTGGATTTGGGATGCGGGGGAGCATCATTGCCATCCTTCCCCCACCCTGTGA